TCTCTGCCCGAAGGCAGAGAGTTCGACTGTTTAGCTGGAACAGGTCGCAGCTGGTATATTTAGCTACCCCACTCCACGAGGGTTGCATGTGGCACAAGGCCGGTTTAACGTAGGTTCCCCGAGCCCGTAGGCTCGACCAAAAATATTCCCTTTTTGAACCCGTATAAACAGGTTCAGGGGCAGTCTACCTCCCCGAACGAGACTCGTCCGGGTTTCTCTCCACCCGACGGCAGAGAGTTCGTCTGTTTAGCTGGAACAGGTCGCAGCTAGTCTCCGTAGTCCGTTGACTTACAGCTACTTATAGGTAGTTACTACCTATAGTGTAGTCACTCATGGAGGTTATAGTCTATTCCATTACATCAGTTTTACTAATTAACCCATATCTTGATGAAGAGGCAGGCTCGGGATGCGCGCTCCATGCATTTTCTTATCCTCCATAATCTGTCCCTTGCGATGGCATCACCGGCGTATGACTATTGAAATCCTTTCTCTCTGCATTTATACCCTTTAATATCGCATTATTTAAACATTTCTTTGAGGATGGCCATCTTTGAATGCATTTGATTTGCTATTGTGTATCCCTCCACGTGAACACCTCTTGTTGGCTCTTTGCTCACTGTTTTCACGCTGTAGCTTTCTTTCTTTCTCAGAATTTGCAATGAAGTAATGTAATGTATTCCTGTAGCAAGCAATTTTCTGCTTTCCTTTGACCATTAGGCTACTCAGTTTTGTCTTCCTTGTTACATTTCCTCTTCCCTTGCCAATTATATATTTATTTATTTATTTTTCTAGTTTTACCCTTTTGACCTTCGACAAACCTGCTTCGTTTTCAGAGTCTTAGTGGCCTCCAGGTGTTTATCTGGCTGTCTTAAAGTACGCATGCGTGCACACCCAGTAAGCAGAATAGCATGTGTATAAATATTCAAACTGATGACAAAATTAAAAAAGTGACTATTTGGTTGGTGCATAATTATCAGTCGTTTTTTCTAGGCGAGTTATTTGTTAAAAACAATTGCTGTTTTGTTTACTTTTTTAAATAAAAATATTATTTTATTTTTCAGGTTTTAAAATTGCGTCTTGATAAGCTCCGGAATAATCATTTAAAAATAATATTGTTGAAACGTTATGTTTCTTTTTTCATAATAAATATTGTTTTAAAAACGCCTGATAAATATGCACCAACCCAATATATTATCTTGGGACATCGTGTATATCTAATAAAAATAGATAACAGTAGTCCATATAAAATTCAGGATGTACAAATATATTTTGAAAATGTTACCAACAACGGTTGATTATTATCAATTTGGTTATGAGAACATTCACTTGTATAATAAAGTCTGACGTAGTCTATGTGTTCGGAAAAAGACATGTCGTACATCTAAATTTCACTGGGCTCAGAGCCAGATGTTTTCCTTACATCTAAAACTAGATTAGCTTGCTGAAGAAGCCCACCTGTACACAATTTAGAGATAAAAAATATCATCACCAACTAGCAATTTAAAACCAATCAAAACGCTAGTTTTTCCTCAATCCGCCCCCCCACTACAAAAATGGCCTATTTGAAACAATAAACAGAGTGGACAAAAATATTTTCTTTAGTTATTCTAACACAAAACAACTACAATGATACGTACATAAGATTCATCACTTCAAAACGTTGAACCTCGTCACAAGAAATACCTTCTTCGGTACAACAGGGTGCCTAGTAAAAAAAAAAAAAAAAAAATAGGTAAATTCAGAAAGACGTCAGAGAACCGTTGAAAAATGGTGTCGACTGATGTGACTGAACAATCCAGGAAGAATTTCGGCGCATTTCGTCAATCCATACGTCGGATGTTTTTCTTTGAAAAGTACGATAGTTTGACGCTCAAAACCAGTTTAACAATACGAGAAGGGCAGAACGAAAGACGAATGCTGTCTGCAAATAACCTTTAAATGGCGTGTCACAAGACCGAGCAGCAATTAATCTTAAAAGAACCAATGAGAGTTAAGTAATTATGCGAGACTCGAATGGTTATTCAAGGTCATGAAAATTCAAGAAATTTATTCAAGGTTATTCAAGGTCATTTATTCCTGAAAGATAAAACAGTAATACTAAATTTTCCGTTTTTTTTTACTATGCTTCCTGTACTTCAATGAATCGATACTAATTACAAGACGGAACAACCTGGAGTAAGTAAGAAAGAAATAATTTTTCACATGAAAAATAGCCGACAACTTATTTCTGATCATATCCGTATCCCAGGGCGACTAGCCAAACCCTTTTACACATGCCTGCGAAATCCATACTGCACCTATGCTAGCAAAAGAATGAGTTCAATGTGTGAATTGCAAATCGGGTATAATAGAAACAAACAATTGCGGAAATTTAAATATCTGGGGAGTGTTTTAACAGAAGACAGAAATTGTGGTACTGAAATCCGAAGACGTGTTGAGATAGTCAAAGATACCTTCCAAAAGCTAAGCAGAGTATAAAGATATTGTTGAAACTTGACTAATGCATGGAATAATAATGCAACACAAAATGTACTTAGAACAAAATGTATTGAAACAAGAAAGTGTACACAATATTTACATATAGTCTTTTGTATATTCCTGGTAAGACCGTTCCTGGAGAATGTGTTGACTTAGTTGCAGTCGGGCAGAGTCTCTGGATTGAATCTCTTGATTCCTCCCTCTCTCTTCCCACTATGCAAATTAGGTGGATCCTACCACAACAGATATAGAAAAACTTCACTAGAAACAAGGAAATAAGTACTAAACTGTTACGTGATATCTGTTCTCTTATATCGCAGTGAGTTCTGGACAATCTCTGCAAAGACGAAGAAGAGACTTGAAGCAACATAAATGTGGTTCTACAGAAGGATGCTGACTATACCACGGTCCAGTCTACCCAATCTCACACCCAAGGTTTGGGTCTACCCGTTGTATGTTTTTTCATGCAATTTTCAACGGTGAAAAAATATGAATGTGAATAAATCGATCATGGCGAGTTCCGAACACGGGACATAAGGTTAGAAAACGCGCATACGCATTTCATATTAGCCTTCATTCAAATAACACTAAAATATTTTTCTACTTTCAAACACATTCTATAAAAGGAAATCTTAGTTAAACCCGTCTTCCTTGACAAATGTTTTACAAATTGCTAACAAGACAAAGCAATTTTTCGCAGTCTATAATTTTGTTTAGTATTAGGTTGGCCAGAAAGTCCTGACTCACTTAGGAAGCGGAAAAAGAACAACAATATTCATGCTGCAAAATAAAGTCCATCATTCTCGACGATCTTCAGCCAGCATCTAAGTACTTTCCAACTTGATATGAAATTCTAACATACCTTTGTGGGCAATTATTTTCCACTCTACAGCCACTTTCCTCACAAGCGAAACGTCGTTATTCATTCGCTGTTGGGCCCCTTACAGCTAGGACACGACATTCCACGTCCTTATTCCTTTCGTATTCCTTTGGTAAGGAGTCCGTTCCATTCAGAGAGTTTCTTCCAGAAAATGGTAACCTTGTCGAGCTGACTTCCGAGAGGATTCTTGCCCGATCACTACAATCTTAATGCCTTTAATTCTAGTGTCAATCGTTATCTATCCTACGTATCCTAATAAGCTACACTTCCTTCCTTCTCAGACATCTATACAATAACGTCATTCAGTAACCATCTAGACGATCCAGTTCGAGTTTTCTCTAACTTCTTGCACCAGGCGCGGATGTTAACAGGGCTGGGTTTCGTTTTCATACTTTATACTGTGATTCCGCTGGACATGTGGGTCAGATTTGGCCCTCGTTTTTTAATCATTTCACTCCAAGCAAGGCAATAGAACCACTAAGACGCAAGAGGTTACGGAGGTTAGAGAGTACGCGAAAAAAGAAGAAAAAAAAAAGAAAGAAAATCATTATTAAGGAGAGGAAATAATAAAAGGTCAAGAATTATGAAGACAGAAGATAACGATTGACATTATATTTAAATTCTTGAAGATCAAAGTTGACCGGGAAGTTAGAAGCTGGAAGAGAGTTACACAAGCGACAAGTGCGAGAGAAGAAACTGTTAGCATTCACTGTAAAATGATGAGACCTTGCCGCCAATCGAGTACTGCACTGAGATTCATAAAGTCTAGTTACCTAAGACGAAAGTTCGCTAGAACAATTATCATGAAAATATTTATAGAAAATGTACAGTGAAGCTACATTACGACGGTAGGAAAGTGACTGAAGGCAAGAAGCCAGGTCAGGAGCCATAACATTGCAGATTCTTCTTTGGATCTAATCAAGAATCTCTAAATATATAGCAGAAGCACCAGACCAGATGTGGCAGTAATATTCAAAGCAAGGACGAATGGTAGATTTATAAATTTGTAAGATAGATTCTGGAGAGAAAAATTTGCCTAGCATGACACAGTGAACCGACTTTCCTAGCAGCAGACCTAGCAATTGATTCAATATCGTCTTCCCATTTTATGTCAGTGGAAAATGTTAGCCCGAGAAGGCGCAATAGAACGCTTGATGGAAGGCAACAAGGGGTCAGGATACAAATTGCGCTATTGACATTTTCATTAAAAGTCGGGGATTAATAATAAGCACTTTTATCATCTACCTGAAAAAAAAACAAAACAAAATAAAATGATTTTAAAAAGTGACAAACTATATATAAATGAAAACTTTAATAACATTTTTTTTAACAAGCAAATAAGTGTATTTGTGGATCTTAACTCTAATGGATGCGATAAACTTTGGAAGCAGTATAGATAATTTATACAAATCTTTTATAACTACAATGACCTCTAACGCCGAGAGAATGACAAGTAAAAGACTTTTAAAAAATGCTTGTTTTTTAGCCAAGAAACTTGATTATGGGTTTCACACATCTAAGTTTATAGTGATTTAAAATTTGGAGAAGTTCACGCGAAATGTGAAGTTTTTAATTCATACATAAAAGAAACATGGCGGCTTTATTCTTATACTTAATTTTTTTTTCTCTTTCTTTTCTTTAGTTGTCTATCTCTTCCATTCGAACAGAAGACATTAATACGCTTGGAATTCGCACTTTCTTGCCGCGCGGAAGCACAATTCAAAGCATTGCAGAGAAAACATTTCGGACGTGGCACCGATGGTTTTGGACACTGATTTATGCGTGAAGTTGATTTCGTATTCAGGAGCGTCGAAAGGTTCTTCCCACAATGCCGTGTGACAGCACCATATGCGCGGTAAACGCTATCGAGCGTGTGATTAGAGCGCCCAAGAAGGCGGCCAAAATTGAGAAGAAAAGAAAGATGCAGTTTTCTATACAGAAAAGTAACAATGTTGCGAGAAGAGTGTCGACGACAGACATATATATATATATATATATATATATATATATATATATATATATATATATATATATATATATATATATATATATATATATGCGATTTAGATTTCTGCGCGAGGTAGTGTAAGAAATATCGACGCAGCAGACGGAGTCGGTAGAGTGAGTTCAAATACAGGCTGAAGCACTTAATGTCTAACTTATGCAAAATAGCTTTAGTAAAAGCACGAACCCTATTCTCCTTCCACTATGTCCTATCACTAGATATCTTGTCTCGTCACTGGCATGTCAAGACGGCGAGAGTAGGTATGCGTACATTTCGGATAACCACTTCTCCATAATTAACTAAGCAACCAAATTTTATTCTCAAAGTAAACCTTGAGCTTATATGCGTACTTTTATACATAGATTATTACATTTGTAGGCGGGTACCACAACGGCTATAGAGTGCCGCAGGTGAAATCGAGAAGCCGAGTCATACATGCGGAACTCTCAGTGAGAAGTGGATCTTTAGTCAACTTCATATGAGATGCATGTATAATATACTGGGTGCACCCCATCACAAATTGAAGTTATTTTGTAGTCTAATAACATAGCCAATTCAATTTATATACATTAAACCTATATATATATATATATATATATATATATATATATCAAGATGAGAATAGATTAAATCGACAACTGCCATCTTCTTAGACTTATTAACAGTCAAATAATTTATTAAATTTAGTTTCGCTTCTTAAAGCTGTATTCACGTATTTTCACGGGTCTGTTATAGAGAAGGACTCAGCGTACATCCTGTTTTCCCTACAGGCCTGACGATTGCGTCTAGCATGAAACAGCTTGTCGCCTCCGAGTGTTGACTTCAATGTTCACTTTATATTTACATACGCTCTAAAGATTGTTTCTTTTTCCATTCTTCTTCTATATTTCTTCTTCTTCTTCTTCTTCTTCTTCTTCTTATATATATATATATATATATATATATTATTTATTTTATTGCACTAATTGTTTTATTGAGCCCTAATGTTATGAACGTTTGAATTTTTATTTTTCGTTCTTTTACATTTGGTTATATATATATATATATATATATATATATATATATATATATATATATATATATTATAGAAATCCAAATCAATTATTATTTTAATGCTTTCTGTTTATAAGTTATTTTACTTAAATATTTGTATCTATATAAATAACGTATAAACAGAATATATATATATATATATATATATATATATATATATATATATATATATATATATATATATATATTTTTGGCCATCAATCTTTCTTTTAAACGTCTTTCATTAAAGACGGCAGACAGGGAGGATTTAATTATTCTTTTTCCTTTTTGTAGGTGTAAGGGAGTCTAGAAATTTTCCATAATTTTTAGGGACTCAAGCGCTTTCGGACAATTCTTACGCCATTTTCAAAGGGTTTTGATTTTGGTGTTAGATTTTCCTCATGATTTGACTGTTGTATTTTATTTTTGTGTTGTTTTGAATAGGAGCGCTTATTCCGAGGTTTCGCGTGTTGAGCGCAGTTGGAACTCGCGTGACATCTTTCTATTTACACCCCCCCCAAAAAAAAACTTTTAACACTACATTGATAGCAGCAGAGAGATGTTTAATATATAGGGCCTCTCTAATAGCGAGATGGTTCCGTTAATGTGGTTCATATAGAATTGTAGAGCTTTCGACCAGAATTTTTCTTCGGGGTTCTTGTAAATTGTGGATTGATAGAATTTTTTTTATAGCACTTTGATCTGATAAGAGGCAAGAGAGGGGCCTACTCAAGGAGGTGGTAGTATATTCGATATAGGTAATTAATTGATTTGTGGCAAACAAAACTGTCTTGAAAATGGCTAATAATGTGGCTGAAAGCACTTGGGACAATGAAAATTAGGGAAAATGTCTATAATCACTTCTACAAAATGAACAGAAAGTAAGGATGCTGGAAAAACTAAACATAAATTAATTAAATCTTCTTTGTCTTGCCATGTTTAATGAAATATATATCTAAACTCATCTAAATGTAAATACCAGGAAATAAAAAACTGAAATTCTCACCTTTTGTCTCAAATTCATCTTCTGATTTTAAACCAAAATATCTTCAGTGAGCAACCAAAACAAAATAAATGGTCTTGGCGTTCCAATGCTTTTAAAGTGGACTGTGTTTATATATATATGATCTACCTTCCCTACTGTGCGAGTTTGGTTTGCGTGTCAAATTGTATTCGTCCAGTGGTATATGTTAATCATCTTATTAGTACAAGTTACTGGCTACCTGAAGATCAGGTAGTTAGGCAGCTGTAGCCGGCCACGTGCTCAGCTCTTAGCTGTTGTCGAACTCTTTGCCTTCGGGCAGAGAGGAACCCGGACGAAGCTATTCCGAAGGGCAGAGTCTCGTCCGGGGTGGTAGACAGACCCGACCTCGTTTATGCGTGATCTACGGGGAATTTTTGGCCTAGCCTACGAGCTCGGACTGCCCCACGTTAAATTAGGCCTTGTTTCACATCCTACCTCGTGAGGAGGTTGGTAAATATTACTGGCTACCTGAAGATTGTATGCAAACACATGAAACTTAAAGTAGTGGCAAGTCATTGCCTACCTGGTTATTGAATTAATATTCAAATGCACTAGCATAGAGCACTTTTATGGAAGGAGGTTAATTCAAACTTGGAATTATATATATATATATATATATATATATATATATATATATATATCATCAGGTCATCCCATAAGTTCTGTCCGAATTTTAACTTTTTGTTAAAATGAACAAATTTAAAGTATTTTATAATGTCTAATGGAGCTGAACATTATTTTTTATGTTTAGATGCATTTAAACTAGTCAAATTTTATTTCAGAGAACAATAAAATTAAATTTTGTTTGATTAAAACCCTGCTAACATGGAAGTACCCAAGAATCATTTGAGGCACATAATACTTTTTATGAGTTCAAGAAAGGAAACTCAGCAGCCAAAGCGTCTAGAAACATTCACTCAGTTTATGGAGAGGAATGTGTGAATGAAAGAACTTGCAGAAGATGGTTTGCAAAATTCAGAGGTGGAGATATCACCCTTGAAGATGAAGATCGAACCAGACGTCCAGTTGAGTTTGATGAAAAACTTCTTGAAGCAGCCCTTGAAGAAAATTCTGCTTTATCAGTTTAGGAATTGGCAGTGGTTCTCAGTTCAAACCATACAACTGTTCATCGTCATCTTCAAGAACTTGGAAAAGTTCCTAAACTTGAAAAATGGGTGCCTCATGAATTGTCTGAAAACAACCTCAAATCCCGTGTTGATATCTGCTCTTCTCTCCATTCTCGCCAACTTGTATCACCTTTTTTGGATAGACTTGTAACTGGCGACGAAAAATGGATCTCTTATCGAAATGTTAAGCGTCATAGACAGTGGCTTGGTAAAGGGGAAGGACCCCAGTCACAGCCGAGAAGGGAACTTCATGGGCAAAAGGTTCTTCTTTCAATCTGGTGGGATCGCCAAGGAATAATCCACTTTGAATTCTTACCACCTAATGCAACAATTAATGCTCAAATATACTGTCAGCAATTAGAGCGTTTGAACCAACCTTTGAAGAAAAAAGACCTGCTCTAGTGAATCGAAAAGAGGTGATGTTTCATCAGGACAATGCGACCCCACACAAGAATCGTCACAAAAAAATCGAAGAACTTGGTTGGGAAAAATTCCTCATCCACCTTATTCTCCAGATCTTGCTCCTTCAGACTACCATTTGTTTCATAGCTTACAGAATCATATGGAAGAAACAGCTTTTGTAATACAGGAAGAGGTTAAAACTGACATTTGTGAGTTCTTCGGATCAAAGCCAAAAGAATTTTACAGTAATGGAATTAGTAAGCTTGTTAATAGATGGAAGAAAGTCATAGATAATCAGGGAAAATACATTGTTGCTTGAATCTGTAATTAAATGTAACATTTGGTCACTTGTTTTCTTTATTCAAAATTCGGACAAAACTTATGGGATGACCTGATACACACACACAACACACACACACGTATATATATATATATATATATATATATATATATATATATAGAGAGAGAGAGAGAGAGAGAGAGACAGACAAAGACAGAGAAAGAGAGATGTATGTATTACAGTCATTTGTCTGGAGAGACATCCTTTCACTCAGATTTTATCATTATTAAATAAACGCTTGTAGACGGTTATTTATTTCATAATGATTCAATTCCTGTTTGTGCGTGAGTATTTGTTTCTATAATATAGGTAAAAACGGCACATCGAAGTGTGAAAAATTACAGCACAATATCGCTAAAACGCTCTAATTTTTGACGAATAAAAACAATTTTAAAAAGCAGTTTAATTTGTAAATTTTATAATCATTATAATAATAATACTGAGAGATTTATATTTACGCTCATCTCGATAATCAGAAACTAATCTTAGCATGTCTGTAGATTTTAAATTTTGTATATATATATATATATATATATATATATATGAGCTGAATAAGGCTGACACATTCGAAGTTAGTTGAAATAGTCTATACTCATGAGGTAATTTTGGATTTCTCTGTTATATATATATATATATATATATATATTAAGAAATGGACAAAGTCCGACAATTTATTTATTAAAGACATTTTTATGTTTAACGTTCTTTTTTATAGATACAAGTATTTAAGTAAATGCTCTGTTTATAATAAATTGTCGGACTTTGTCCATTTCTTAATATATGACGTCATTTGTTTACATTTGATACGCCAGAGCAGTTATGAATGTACGAGATTCATGGAAGATTGAAGTTCATAAGCAGTAAATTTTACCTTGCCTACCGAACGCTCCTTTGTGGCCGAGACGGTTAAGGCACGTCAGCGTAAATGACGGTTCCGTATAGGATGCAGGTTCGAATCCTGTCAAAGGACGAATATTTTCTATGAAAATTTCTCGGACATTCAGGCCGGTAAATGTTATTTAATACTGTTTATTATAAACAGAACATTTACTTAAATACTTGTATCTATAAAAAAGAACGTTAAACATAAAAAATGTCTTTAAGTTATTAATATATTCTCCCAGCTTTTCCGTATTGAATTTAAGGTAAATCCTCATCTTATTTTCATATTGGCCCAAAAGCTAGAGATTCATGTAACCTTTCCTGAAATGAATTTAAGGTAAATCCTTATCCAACAATATTAATAATCTATTTTTTAGGCATACGTACAACTACACACACGCATTTCTTTCTTTCCTTTTTGGATCTGATGAAGCCTAGAAAAGCGAAACGCGTAATCAAATCTGAAACGGTTTTCCATTTATCAAATTTCTTCAACCCTTTTCGGATTTTATATCCTATTTTAAATACCGCCCCATATATATATATATATATATATATATATATATATATATATATATAAACGGCATTTCTTCATTCAAGCATATTTCATTCAGTAATATAGACATATTGTGTCTACTTAATTTTATACTGATCCGTTCCAGCTGTCTAATCAATTTGTTGAGGTTGAGATGAATTTTATCAAGAAAGGCACCGTAGTTTTTTTTTTTTTTTTAACCCAAGTACTTTCGACCTTCTCTAAGAGCATCTTTCAGGGGTAAATTACAAAGAGAAACTTATTGTAACCGCGATAAAATCTGCATTCTGTTGTCATGGTGATTTTTTAAAATACCCACGAACGCTCTGTGTTATAGTTATTTTCAAATTTTAAATCTATCCGTTGTAGTTAGGGATTTTTTTTACAAAACACGCTTTTCAATATAAAGGTGCTGACTGGAAATTGGTAGAAATGTAAAATGATATTAAGTGTTATATGCACTCTTTATTGTTGTTGCTATATTCGTAATAAATTTTGTTGAGTGTTGGTTGACTGATTTTTGAGGGCCTCGAGTATCTGAAGTTTTTGTTTATTATTTTCGTTGTTATAGTAGATTGGTGTTGTGAACAAGTATTTTCCTATATTGCGAAGGTGAACAGGAATGTGTTTTTGATGTGCAATAGTACAATAGAAATTGTATCTGCCAAATGAAGTGTAAGACGTCTTGATATTGCTGTGGTCGTCACGCCAACATACAGGGTGACCCCCCCCCAAAAAAAACGGGAATTTTTGAAGTGCGTATTGTCAGACATGAACAAGTGGCAACACTGCGAGACAGTGACCTTGAGCAAGTAAACATTTCGCCATTTAGAATTCAAGATGAAATTCACAATATCCCAGCTGAGATGTTGCAGCAGTCAATGAGGAATCTCAACAGCAGATTTCAAGAATGCATTCGTACAGGAGGACTCCATCTACAGGACGTAATTTTTAAAAAATGAAAATTTCATCATTGTTTCTTAAATGGCATATTTTAAGGTTTCAATTACTA